GGCTCACACCACCCCCAGCCCCTGCCCCGGGTCTCACATGTAGTGTAGCCCAGTCTGGCATGGCCTGCCTCAGCTAGGCATTTGCTGGCAGGTGCTGTAGCCTGGCCTGGCTCCATCCCCCCTCCAGTTTCAGTTCACATTGGTGAGGGCTACGGCCTGGCACAGCCCAGCCAGCCCCCAGTCTTGGCCCTAATGTGAACTGGCTGGCATTGTGGCCTGACCTGCATCCCATCCTGGGTCTCAGCTCTGCCAGTGGGTGTCATGACCTGACCCACACGTATGCCGTGGGTACTCTAACCTGGCCTGGTCTAGGCTGCTCCCAGCATGGGTTCCTGCACTCACCTGCAGGGGCTGTGTCTAGATCTTGCGCATGCCAATGGTTGCTGCGACTCAGCTTGGCATAGCCCACCCCTCACCGTGCCTTTGCCATCAGATGCTGCAGCCTGACCTAGCCCGACCCTCCCCAGTCCCAACTCTCACTGGAGGGCACTGCAGCCTAGCCCTGCCCTGTCTGCTCCTACGTGGGCTGACCCACTAAAATCTTACAGCTTCCTCCCTCCAAACTGCTGTCTCAGCGCCCTTGCTTACCTGCAGGTACTGTGGCCTGTGGCCGGGAGTCCCTGGCAGGCCTTCCTCCCCATCCTCCCTTCCCCTTCCTCTGATCGATCCATGATCCTTGCGTCTGAGAGCACGTGGCTTCCCCAGCCCGGTCCACCAGCATACCATGCCAGCATGTTAACCCAGGGCTCCCCTCCTAACCCACTGGCCTCCCGCCTGCGGTCACACTCAGCCCCGTCAATCCAACCGCCCAGGCTTGCTAGCAGTCTTGTCCAGTTGTGTATAGTTCTAGGGCTCCCCCCGCCCCCCCGCTTGGTCAATTACTGAAAGAGGGGTGTTAGGAAATGTCACAGTGCTGCTGAAATGCGTCAGCTTCTTGACACCCTGCTCACTTCGTCTGGTGGTTAACACACCTAAGCATTTGTTCTCACGACTTTCTGGGTACACTGCCCCCTTTTCCTGTCACAGTGTGCCCCAGTTCTTTGTATCCGGGTCTCGTGTAAATAGTATGTAATCTCTTCTACCTCTTAAAAAAGATTTATTTATTTTTATTGGAAAGACAGATTTACAAACAAAGGGAAATACAGAGAGGAAGACCTTCCGTCTGCTGCTTCACTCCCCAAGCAGCTGCAATGGCTGGAGCTGTGCCGATCCAGATAAACCGAAAAAAGCAATTTTTAGATTTCATTGACTAATGCCTTCCACACAAGAGAATCCCAAAGCTGCCCCTGGCCGGGCCCATTTTGTCCTGGATGGCACAGTTGGTTAGTGGATAAGGAGGGGAGTGTCTCCAGGAGGAGACCAGTGCAAACACATGGCAAGTGTGGGGCTGGCCAGTGGCTTGGTGAGCACCTGCCAAGCCCGAGGAGCCAGGCGGCCAAGAGCAGGTGAGGGGCTGTGCCCCGACACCCACGGCCTCACCAGCCATCCTGACCTACACTCACAACGGGACGTGCGGCGAATGTGTGCGACAAACGACACACAAGCACCTGCTGGGGACCCGTGAGGACCCTCTGTCCACGCTGCGCCAGCCTGCCAACCAGCGTCCAGAGATGAAATCCAACACACAAAACCACGTGGATGCTCTACACGGCCCCAATTTGGGGACAGCAAACCGAGGGAGAGGACTCTCCTAGGACCGTTTTCCTAAACCTTTATTCATGAACCCTCAATGTGCAGGCGGGAGCCGATGGGGGCGGGGCTCCGGCCTCTATCCACTGGGTACCACTCACATCGCCCCTCTCCTCCCTGCAACCATCACAGCCACGCCCAGGCACTGCGACCCCATCCCTGGGAACTACTGAGAGCACCTTTAGGTGGTCTGAGATGGCAACCCTGCCTCACTGCTCGCTTTTTATTCGACTGTTGAAGGAACTTGATGTTAGGCCTGGCCCAGGCATGAAGCCATGGGGGGGGGGCGGTTAGAAACCCTCTCCATCCTAACTCATCCATGCTCCATCCTAACTCATCCATGCTCCCAGACCTCACGGGGCACGGCCTCTCGCTGTCCCCACCCTGCAGAAGAGGCAGCCGAGCAGGTGCACAGCGCAGCACCCAGCACAAGACCAGGGCTCCCTAAGTGAGGCGCCTTCCCCTGCACAGCCCCCATGTCCTGGCCCGCAGCACCTGTGTCCTCTGGGGTCCCTGTAGCCCTGAACGCGCAGCGTCTTCAGGTTAACACAAGCGACTCTGTGAGCCTGGGTTGTGAGTTCAACCGTGGAGACCCATCTCCCACCCCTCATCCTCAGGACACACAGCAGGGCGCCGCCCCAGGGAGGGCATAGGCCCCTGGAAGCTGGGGGCTATGGAGGGCGCAGCTCTGGGAAAGGAGCGGGGCTCAGCAGGGTGCGGCCCCGGGCAGGGCGCACGGCTCAGGAGGACGCAGGCCTCAGGGAACTGGGGCTCAGGAGGGCACAGCCCCGGGGAGCTGGGGGCTATGGAGAGCGCGGCCCCGGGAAGGGAGCAGGAGCTGGGGGCGGCCCTGGAGATCGGAGCACCCGCCCCGTCTCTGTGTCTCACCTGCTCTTCATCCTGTTCCCCATCTTCACCTGAACCTGTGGCCCCGGGCGGATGTGTCCCTGCCCGAGTCCCGTGCACTGACGTGTAAACCGTCCCCCTCCCGCGTCCCCACGCGCGCCCGCGGACCTCAGCCGGCACGGCCTGCGCCCCTCGGCCCGGCGCGCGTCCACTCCCAGGCCTGCAGCGCACGCCGCTCGGCCTCCGTCCCCCGCGTGCCGGACAGCACGGGCGACACTCCCGGCCCTCCGGACGGTCTGAAGACACCCTGTCGGGTGGCACAGCGCACAAGATCCCTGCTGCAAAGGTGCGGGTGAGCACTGAACCCGGCCCACCTAGGAGCACCAGGAGCCGTGGGCAAGGCGCTGCCGCGAGGCCCGTCGGGAATCGTAGTCGCCGCTAATGGACGCAACGGAGGCGACCCGCGCCACGGGCACCTGGGAGTCGTAGGCGAGTATGCGCAAAGCCTCCTGGGAGGCGTAGTCCTTTCCTGGTAACCTGCATCTTGCAATGCTGGTTCTGGCCCAGGTGAGCGTCCCTCCTTCCCGCCGTTGGCCAGGCCTGGTCCTTTTGCAAGAGTTGGAGGGCTGTCTGTTTTTCTCTTATCCATTCTGGTGGGGGCCGCTGACACTTCCTTTTGCGCCCAATGACCTGGTCAGGGCAGCTGTGGATGTGTAGTTGAGTTAGCCTCCTCCTTGCTCTCACAGCTGCTACTCGGCGCACCCTGAACAGCCAGAGCTGAAACATTCTTAGCCCTATCTGACGTCTGATTCCTTCTTATCCTGCTGGCCGAGGCTCCAAGGCCTTCTCCACCTGCCAGTCCCCATTGCCCGATCACACTGTAATCCAGTTGGCCCGGCCCATTTACCAACATCCAGATGGACAGAGCTGCAGTGCCCCGACCTCTCCTTGCCTGGAACCCCGGACTCTGCCAACAGCCCTGGAGACTGGGTCAGTGGTATCCTGCTTGTCTCTGTGAGGTGGGCTGCAATGGGGTGGCCTCACACCTATGGAGAGGACGCAACCAAACGTGGGGTATAACCCGTCAGCGTCTTCCTCTTGAAACCAGCTCTTTAGGCTTCTCTCCCTGGTGCGCAGGGAGTGTGATCCATGGAGTCTTCCTGGAGGTGGTGACTTTCTTAGGCTAGAATCCTCACGTGACGCTCCTGGCTGATTTCCCTAATTCATCCTCGCACACCTGCCCCCGGCCTAGAGGGGACAGCGACGCTAGCCCCAGGAAGCCTCCCCGCAAGCCAGAATTCCCGCGTCACTCACCCACGTCTCTTCTCTCCGACCCCACAGCCATGCTGCCCCACGGTGCGCCTCCTGCTGCGAGGCCCACTCTGCCCTCCAAAGCCCCAGCTCAGGGCAGGTGCTGTGCGGTGCCTGTTTCTGCGCCGCCTTGGAGGCCGAGGTGCTGCACACGGTGCTCGTGGGCCGCCTGCTGCCGTGGTGGCCGTGGTGGCCGTGGGCGCCTGGGGGGTGGGGGAGGACTCCACGGTGCTCGGTGCTCAGTGCTCGCTCACTCCTGAGCCCTGACCTGGGTGTGCGGTTGACCCTGTCCGTGGTCCTGGAGCAACAGCTGGGAGATGCTCCAGCAGGTCCTGGGCCTGATGCCAGCAAAGCACCCCAGTCTGTGGGAATTCTGGGAAGAAGAGGTCTGGGAGAAGGGGAGAGTTGGCTGGGCGCACCTCTAGTGGTCCCTCTTGACCTTCTCATTGCCCTAAGGACCAGCCTTGGGAGCTCGAAGTGCCAGCCTGGCGGAGGGGAAGGACAGTATGTCTTTTCAGACGGAGCTGGCGTGGCTGACCCTTGGGGTCGGCAGGGTCCTCTGAGTGCCAGCTCCTTTCTCTGTTTCCCCATGACAACAATCCTCTCTTGTCAGTTGTAACTCTTTACCATATCTGCTTCCTGTCTGCCTTCCTTTGTCTTTGGCTGATGTGTCATTCCACAAAACATTTTCAATTCCAATGTTACCAAGTCCATGGAGGTTGCTAGTTAAATAGATGTTTTATTGCCTTTTTGTCTCATCCTCTCATGAGAAAATTATTCTAGGGGGAAGGCAGCACTGTGGAATAGTACAGAAAGCCACCGCCAGCAATGCCAGCGTACCATAGGGGCACCAACTCGAGTCCCAGCTGCTCTGCTTGAGAAAACAGCAGAGGCTGGCCCAAGGGCGTGGGCCACTGCACCCGCGTGGGAGACCCAGAAGAAGCTCCTGGCTCCAGCCTGGCTCAGTCCTTGGCTACTGTAGCCATTTGGGGAGTGAACTTGCAGATGGAAAAATCTTTTGGTTTGTCTTCCCATCTCTGTGTAACTCTGCCTTTCGAATAGATAAATATTTAAAAATTACACTTGCTTCAGTTTTTTAAAGCAAAAGGTGATTATCAGAATATCAGACATTTGCTAGGTTGCAATATTTTTACATACTATAAAATGTATTTATTTATTTACGCTTTTCCTCATGGCCACTTTCCAAAGCCCAAGGGAAAAAAAATGTGAAGGTATGTGGGCTTGAGTGTTGCTGGTGAACTTTTGGCTAGTTGGGTTTAGTACTTTCTTAACATATTCATTCAACTTTAGAGGAGCAAGGGGATGCGTGCTTTCTTCAGTCCGCTCTCTTGCCCCACGTCCACCCGTGAGCTCGTGTTTGACGGGAAGTGGTCATGAGTGAGCATCCTTTCAGAAGGAGGGGTCGGGAGTAGCCAAGGCAGCATGGTGTGAACCAGCATGGGAGGTGAGCTGACAGAAGGTAGACAGTTGGGAGGACTGCAGTGGGGAGATGCCTGCAGTGGGTTGTCCAAGGCCAACTGGGTCCCCTCCCATGAAGGAAGTGGAGAAGCTACTGGAGGTGATGGGACACTGGAAGGACTGACAGGTAAAAGTTGGGTGACCCTGAAGAGGACAGGAGGCACCACATGGGGAGCTGACCGCTGTGGGAGGGGGGTGGTCCTTCCCTGGGACCGAGAAGTGGGGGTGTGATGCCTGCATGTTGTGATAGCTTCCTTGTGCGTGGTGGCTGTGGGAGAGCTCGCCGAAGGGGGCCTCCTCTTCGGGGACGCATGGAGAGCAAGCTACGTGGCAGGACCTCCATCAGCTGGCTTCTGTGTCCTCCGTTCCTGAATGGTCACAGCAAGCTTTAGGGGAGAACAGATGCTCTCTGACTTACAGGAGGGGAACAGATGTGCCCCTAGCGAGTGTCAGATCTCGGGTTGGCACCCACCTGTCTCCGTTCCCACTCCCTCTTGTGTTGATGTTGTCACATGGCCCCTTGGTGCTTCAGCAGTTACTCCCACTCATCTTTCTCCATCCCCCAGGCTGCGATGCCCTGGCCAGGACTGAGCCCCGGAGATCCCTCACTCACTTGTCTTGATCTCTGCATACTCCGTGGTGCTCGTGGCCTCCTGGTCCTGAGGCTCTCGTGGCTTCGTCCTGTGGAAGCTGAGGGAGGCGTAGTGGAGCTCCTGCTGTTCCCGTGGGAGAGAAGGATCCCCAGCAGAAGGCTGGCCTTGTGGGCTGTCTGGCTTGGAGGCCACTGGCCTGGAATCCTGGGCAGAGGGGCGAGAGAGGAGTCATGGCAGGCACGAGAAGGAGAGGGTGGGGTGGTGAATCCTTGGGGAGCTATGGCTGTCTGGACACCCTCCGTGAAAATACATGGAACTTATTCATGCCGGAAGCAGGGGTTTGGGCACGCTGAACACGCTCCTCCATCAGCCCAAAGCACTGCCTTGGACGACTGCCTCCTGGTGACCACAGCCCCGTGGGACAGCTGCATACAACCTGCTTGACTAGCCGCACCTGCACACTCACACACCTGGCAGAAACCGCCGGTCAGTCAAGTGTGACTCCACAGAACTAGGCCTGCCTGCTGCGACCTGTCAATCAGGGCTCCCCAACAGGAGCACCCCTAGAGCAACTCCCTGGACCCCAAAGCCCCACTCTCTCTCCCCACCTGCTAGTGGAGTGTGGTGCCCATCCCTGATGTTTCCCCTAAATAAACACAGGTGGACCCTGAGGGGCAGGCTCTTGGGGGTCTAAACTGCATGCCTGTGACTCCGTGCTTTGCTGAGTCGCTGCCTCTGGCTGACCCACTGCCACGCCTGACTTGAACTCCCTACTGCTCGGTGACATCTTAGACCATGGTTCTTGGGAATGAATCAATCGAACAGCAGTCAGACAAGAGCTACAAAGGTGCCTGCTGGGATGAATGAGATGCTGGAGATGACACCTGTCACAGGCTGGGCGCTCATGCAGCAGGTCAGCTGCCGGGTAAAGGGGTGTCCTGTGAAAGGCGTTGAGGTGAACCTCCCTGGAGCTCCAGCTCGGGACTTGAGGCTAAGGCCACTCCGCCGAGAGACGCCTCAAGACCGAAGAAGGGGTAAACACAGCACAGGGTCCCAGGGGCGGCTGGAGGTCCCAGGGGAGGCTGGGGATCCCAGGGGAGGCTGGGGGTCCCAGGGGAGGCTGGGGGTCCCAGGGGCGGCTGGGGGTCCCAGGGGAGGCTGGGGGTCCCAGGGGCGGCTGGGGATCCCAGGGGAGGCTGGGTTGGTGGGGTCTGAGAGCATCAGGTCTTCGTGTTCACACTTTGCTGTCTGAAATCAGACGAGGGCACATCCAAGAGTCCAGAACCCTGAATACAGAGAAACCCAGCTTGAAGCGTTCAAATGAAACGAAGAAGCAAAACCAACAGGAAATCCTGCAATATGGGGTAGAATGTCAAGGTGACAAAACACCTCAGTAAAATGTGTACCTACATGTTAAAAAAAAAAGAATAAAAATGTTAAGGGTGTTAACAACAACTTAGAGTGATAATTTCGATCCCCAGAGAAGTGTAAGAGCGTGCAGGGTGGAGAGACCAGCAGATATAACACACGCTCCAGCCCTTCGACCCAGGAGTAACACCGACACGGAATACTGAAAACGTGAAACCAAGGAGAGCGGAAGCGGAAACAGAGGAAGAAATCCACACATCTCGATATTCACGAGGGGTTTTCAACACAACAAACTCAACAGACGATGTCACCTTGGGTTTTCACAAACTACTTTGCACAAAACTCAGTGTTCAAGGACAAACTGGTGGAGGTTATTCAGAACTCGCCTTGCAAGCAGAAGTATCAAGTGTACGGGCTGGTGTTGTGGTGCAGTGGGTTAAACTGCCATCCGCCAGTGACAGTTCAAGTCCTGGCTGCTCCACTTTAGACACAGCTCCCTGCCCGTGACCTGGGAAAGCAGAGGAAGACGGTCCAAAGTCTCGGGACCCTGCACCAGCATGGGAGACCCGGAGGGAGCTCCTGGCTCCGGCCATTGCAGCTATGTGGGGAGTGAACCAGCACACGAAAGATCCCTCCTGCCCACTCTGTAACTCTGCCTTTCAAACAGACAAATCTATAAAAAAAATTCATACAGATGATCACCATGTATGATAAGATACATGAGTCACTGAGAAGATAAGAGAGGTGGTTTTAACTTCTCAATACATCTAATGTGTTCTAGAAACACGTGAGAAATTGACAAGTACATTATCCTAATATCAGACTCCAACACTTCTCTCGGATATCGGTCAGAAGGAACTGTCGGGGTATTTGAACATCACAAATTAATGCAGTGTCCTATTAATCTTATCAAATCCTTTAAGGAATGGAAAGAGACATCGTTCTTAAGCACACACGAGATATCTACAAAATGAGTTATGTACAAACCACAGATCAAGACGCAGCACACTGGAAGGCCGGAGCCAGCAAGAACGGAGTGCTTGGAGACATGGTCATTTTATTACAAACGGGTTATGGGGATATGCTTAAAAGTCTCCAAACATTTAGGACTTTTAATTCCAAATATTTTTAAACTGAGAGAAGATATTATACTGAGACTTTAAAAATAGCCAGAATTCAACATACTAAGATAGCAGATTATTTTGTGAGAAATTTATTATTACTTCATAAAGAAGGAAGAACTATAGGCTAATAAACTAATTATCCACCTAAACTAGTGAAGGAACATTAGAATAAATCAAATAAAGCAGTAAAGAAAACGTGAATATCAAAATAAAGAATACAGGGCCTGGCACATTAGCCTAGTAGCTCATGTCCTTGCCTTGTAGGCACCATGATCCCACATGGGGTCCAGTTCTTTTTCCAGCTGTCCCGCTTCCCATCCAGCTCCCTGCCTGTGGCCTGGGAAAGCAGTGTAGGACGGCCCAAAGCCTTGGGACCCTGCACCTGTGCGGGAGACCCAGAGTACGCTCCTGGCTCCTGGCTCCTGGCTTCGGATCAGCTCAGGTCCAGCTGTTGCAGCCACTTGGGGAGTGAACCAGAGGATGGAAGATCTTCCTCTCTGTCTGTCCTCCTCTCTGTATCTCTGCCTTTCCAATAAAAACAAATCTTAAAAAAGAAGAAAAGAAATGTATGCTCCAAGGCCAGATGATTTCCTAAGTGACATTTGCCAATCGTCCGAGAAGCAGGAAGGATCAGTTTCACAGCCGACTTCTCTGGTAGCAGAAGAAGCAACAGCCCCAGTTCCCCAACTTTACGCTGACGCCTACACAAGGGGAACGGGGGAGGGGGGGCAGAGAAAGGAAAACAACAGGCTTTCCACGTCTGGAGCTGGTACAGGAAGAGCAGGAACAGAATCAGGGGCTCAGAGACAGGGAGAAAATCAGCCAGTTTGAGGTCAGGAAGGATTTTATACGATGTCCAGGTCTAGTGTGCAAAACTTTATATTACATACGAATTATACAAATCATCTGCATTAACAGGAGGCTTGCCGAGTTGGAATTGATTTTTTTTTTTTTTGCTGCATCTACTGAGAGAATGGATGCCACTCCAACCACCTGTTGTGGGGGAGGCGGCTGGTTCAGGGTCAGGACTTGGAAGCCGGTCCCCCACCATCACCTAGGCGTTCCCTCCTGCCCACTTGTGACGTTCACCTGTCATCACCTGGAACCTGAGAGGGGGCGGTGTTGTGTCGTTGTGTAACCACGCCCCTCACGAGCCCCCATAAAGGCCCATGACAGGGAGGGGCTCGCTCTCTTGCTCATGCACTCCCGTCGCTCTGGCACCGACTCTTGGCCTTCCTTCTTGCCCCCTGGCTTCCTGCGGACAGACTCCGAGGATGGGCAGCCCCTGAGCATGGCCCCTGCGTGTCTGTATTCCTCACCCTCTGTTCACTGCTTGGGCAACTCAGTGAAGAAGTTAGTGCTAAGATGCTTTTATTTCTAAGAGTTCCAGGAGAGGTGAGGCCCAGCAGTGGTGGAATGTGGGCAGAGAAACCAGGGCAAGGGGAATGTCTGCAGCTTTGTAAGTGTGCCCAGGTTGTTCGCTGTATGTCTCTTAGGATAACTTATATTGCTGGGGAAGCTGGGACATAGGACTTGGGTTTTACAAATGGACTTCAGGGTAATGACCATTTGTTTCTCTTGGGGTTTCGATTATATGGACTTGTGATTTACTATTTCCAGTGGGCCCTATTATCACCAGGCTTAGTTAAAAAAGACTCCTTAATAAATCCTAGACTTGTCTGGCATGATCTCGCTTGCACCTTGCAACAGCACCCAGACAGCTGACCCCAGGAGAGGCTGAGGGTGACTGTGAAGACAGATGTGGCCACAGGGAAGACCTAGGAGGAACTCGGCAGGTGGACTCAATGCAATCGATGCCGGAAGGAGAAACGAGAAGCTCTGTGCCAACACACAGTGGGGAACCATCTCAACCACAACCCGGGGGTTCCCTGGGCCTCTGAGGCTGCGTCTGCAAGTTTTTATTTCCCATTCAAAGTGAGTTTTCATAGAACGGGTCATTTGTGGACATCTGAAATCTCTTGGAAAGAAAATTACTTGCAGGGTACCCATGAGGTTGGCGGCTCTCAGAACCTGAAGGCCAGAAGGGCAAGTTGATTATTGAGGGAAATCACGTATTTGCATCAAAAGCAGCTGCTTTGATTTAGAAAGTCACGGCAGTTGACAATAAAGATGTACCTTTTCACGTGGTAATGTTGTCTCTGAGGAGGAAGTGCTAAATACACGAATGAAAAGACCCGCGACTTCTCCACCCAAGTGGCAAGTGTCAAATGATATCCGAGACCAGCATGGGTATTGATCACTTGCAGAAAGAAAGCATACACATTGAGCAATAAGCATCAGAAAATACACTTTGAAGAATGTGGCACTTACAATAGCACATTGGCTCCATAGCTCGCATACGCTCTGACCCCGTACAGGTGCTAGCGCATGTCCTGGCTGCTCCACTTCCCATCCAGCTCCCTGCCTGTGGCCTGGGAAAGCAGTGGAGGATGGCCCAAAGCCTTGGCAACTTTTAACCATGTGGGAGACCCAGAAGAAGCTCCTGTCTCCTGGTTTCGGATTAGCTCAGCTCCAGCCATTGTGGCCACTTGGGGAGTGAACCAGAGGATGGAAGATCTTCCTCTCATTCTTTCTACAGATCTGCCTCCCAAATAAAAATAAATAAATCTTTTACAAAAATAGCAACAATAAGATCTGTATATAGAAAGAAACATAGCAAAAGACAGGTAAGAACTGTGTGAAGAAATTCCACATCATTCTTAAAAACACTGAAAAGATTTAAACAGATGAGTTAAGATTATTTTTATGGATGAAAAGACTCAAATTCATAGCCAAGTAACTTATTCCTAAATTAAGATCTAAACGTAAAGAGTTAGAGAGAGAGAGAGAGCTTTCAGCTGCTGGTTGATTGCCCAAATGGCCAAAACAGAGGAAAAGCAAAAAGGGAAAATTGTTGAATATGATATTACAATTAAGAATTTATGTTCATCCATTGGTCACCTTAGGAAAAATGAAGAGAAATTACTGACTTGGGAAAGGGACTTATGTATACCAGTAGACGATAGTATAAAAACATAAACCCTTTCAACAAAATCAGAAAACACCGACGAGAAAGAGGCACTCCAGAAGTGACCAAGATTTTGTAGAGGAGGTGCAAACCAGAAAGAACTGGCCGTGTAAAGGCTCAACCTGTCTGGAGACAGAAGAACAACGTGGCCAACTACAGGGCCAGGTTCAGTGGCCAGCAAATAGTTTGAGTAGCCATGAAGAGATGGGTCATGGAGTGTGGGTCTGATTCCCTAAGCATCGGCAGGAGACAGCACTGGGGGCCAGGTTGGGCAGGAAGCAATATTTCTGGCGAGATGGCTTTGGCCAGCTGTGTTCAGGATGATGGCTGGAGGAGGCAAGGAGGTGAGGTGGAGTTGGCAGTCAGCAGAGAGGAAGTGAGGAGATTGAAGGCCAGATCGGGGCAGCTCTCACAGTTCCTCCCACATGACTGCAGGGGAGCTCAGCGCGGCAGACAGTGTCTGGGGTCATCATGCCTGTAAGGACACCCACGATACTCACCAAGGTGACTGCCGCCATGACAGGCTCCTCATGTTCTGTGACCTGCCACGGGCCGGTTGATTGCTTTCTGTATAACTTCACTCTAAGAGAAGAAAAGCCAGCATGTAGCAGCTGGGAGTGCTCAGGACGAGAGACCCTTCTGTGAAGATGTAAAGATGGTAGCTCAAGTGTCCAATGCCCTGGGCGCCTCAGCAACCTTCTCCATCTGTCTGATGAGCAGGAACCTGGTCAAGGTGGCTTAAGGCGGAATTTCTCTCATTGGAAACCTCTCTTCAAAAATGCTTACATGATCACAAATGACCCTGGCAGTCCTACGCATAGCAATGACGTGGAAGCAACTGTAGAAAAAGGTGCAGATAAAACATGCTCCCTCTGATAAGGGGGCGAGAAGGAGTGGGGCACTGCCCCATGGGCCATGCGGGGCTGAGCTAAGCAGCGTGACAAGGAGCATGCTACAATTATGATTGCGTTTACATGCAATGCCCCGAGAGAGGAAGTTGGAGAACAGACGAAGGCCGTGGGGGAAGGCGAGAGGCCACGGCTCAGAAATCTTCCTCCCTTTCTCCTTCTGCTTTCCTTTCCATGTGGGGCTGGGGAACAAAATTCTAAACTGGATGGTGGTGAGGGAGGCACAGTTCGCGGAATGCACCGGAAGCTTCTGGGCTGCACACTCGGAGTGGATGAAACACTGTGAGAAAGCCCTCGTCAGGGAAGCTGGGGCCCGCGGCACTGCTCCCTGACGTCCAGGGACATCAGAGACGTCCATCACCCACCAACCTACGCCCGCTGTAGTGAACACACTTCCAGCTATCCGGAGCCCCCACCAGTGTAGACTGCCAGTGCACAGCCAGTGTAGACTGCCAGTCACTGCCTACGAGCCTGCCTTCCAGCCCGCCTAGGCCGCCTGGAGCTCCTCGCTGTAGACCGCCAAGGCTCCAAGCCTCCTCCTTCCCCGAACCCACAGAGGGCTTTGGCCCACAGGTCCTGCTGTGTGTCGCCGTGTGCTCCCTGAGTCCTGAGTACCCCGCTGACGCCTGTAAGTGCTATCTGGCACCTCCTCCACTCATGGGACACCAAGACTCACATGGCAAAGACGAAGAGGAACAGGCAAAGGAAGGTGATGGCCGCAGCTCCGGCTCCCATGAGGGCCGCGAGGACCACACCTTGCTGGGATGCTCCTTGTCCTAAGGGGGAGAGAGTGAGGGGGTCCTGGGTTTGCTTCCAGAACCATCTCTAGTCTCCCCACCTCCTTGCATTCCTGCAGAGCCTTGTGCTCCCACACCTCCCGCCCAGGGCCAGTTCCCTCTCCGGCCACTATCACTTGGATTTCACTCTGGTCTCCGCACCTGGTGGTGACAGCAGCAGGACATGCGAGCTTCGACCCCCATAGATGTCTTGGGCCTCACAGCTGAGCCTGAGGCCAGGGCCGAGCTCCCCGCGGAGGCTCAGGGAGCTGTTGGCCCAGCGCCCTGCAGAGCTGGAGGTGACCATGAAGGAGGCAACACTGCTGTTCCCGCTGCTGTTCCCCTCCAGCAGCTGCTCCTCGAGCCGCCAGCGCAGGAACGGGGCCAGCTGGGCCTGGGAGGAGCATTTGCAGTGCAGACCCTGGGCCTCCCAGGAGCAGAAGGGACCCAGCAGCTGTGGAGAGGCTGGGGAGAGAGCAGGTAAGACTCAGCAGGACACCTCTCTCCTACTCATTATTGCAGGGAAATGACCCTCTGCCCCTCCAGTCCCAGGCCCAAACTCACCCTGAACAGAGAGGTTCACGGAAAGGTGCTGGGAGCCCAGCGAGTTCTGGGCTATGCAGGTGACCTGCCCTCCGTGCTCTGGCTGCACCTGCGGCAGCTCCAGGATGTCGGTGAAGGAGACAGGGGTGGGCTGCAGGTCTGGGGGTCCCCGCACCCAGCTCAGGTTGGCAGGAGGGTTGCTGAGTGCTGAGCAGCGCAGGCGCAGAGCCCAGCCCACCGGGACGGTGAGGGATGAGCTGGTAGGCAGCATGCTGGGGGCTTGTGGGGAGAGACCTACTGAGGGTGGGGAGCCCCCCACAGGGCTGGACTGGCACCCCTGTCCCTCCCTTGGCCAGCACTCCTACTTCACTCCAAGCCCTCCTGCCTTGCACCCCAGGAACTTTGTCCCAAGGGTCTGGGCTCCCCTCTCTTGGCAGGGAGCTGGTGGGGATCGAGGCTGGCCGGGGTGGGGTGGGTCAGATCTGTAATAGTCCAATGCGTGCACAGCCCGGAGCCCTGATGATCTTGTAAGCAAGTTCATGAGGAATGATGCTAGGAAAGCAACCCACACGGATTCCAATTTTTCTTGTTTGTTTGTTTTGTTTTTGCGCCAAAACACACTTAGTTGTATCGCACTTGGCCATGGGTTTGGAAGTGCCTTGCTGGATTCTGTCAGAGCAGAGGGGAGCCAATTCCTGGCCTCCTCCAACGCGTGGGCTGCTCTCCCCTGGGGCTGAGAGCCTTCCCTTGAGCATTGCCAGAACGTGAGTCCTGATCCGCAGGAGAAGTGCAGCCAGAGGCAAGGTGTGCCAGCCTGAAGTGGAGGCGACCTGGCAGCTGTGATGGGAACTGGACAGGGAGGGTGAGGCTGGGCAGCATTCAATGTCTGCTCATGGCTTTAGGCACAGGATGCGTGTGCTGTGAGCACACATGTGTGTAAGAATGTGCAAGTCTGTGTGCATAGGCACGCACGGCACAAGTGTGTACGCATGTGTGTGCACCAGTCTGCATGGCTTGTGCTGTGAGCATACACCAGTGCTTGTGGAAGAAACACACACACACGCACACACACAGAGCTGTGGCGACAGAGTGTAGGCTGCAGGCTCCACGTCCCAGTCCCTGGAGCAGAGGTTTCCCTACCTGTGCTGTTTTGGAAGAAGACGCTGACGCTGAGGTTCTGAGGAGGATCTGGAAGGGAAGAAGGGGCCCTGGCCTCAGGGGTGAGGAGCAGCACGCACGTGGGCACCCGGTATACCCGCGAAGCAGCCGTGTCCTTCTGACCCGCCCCACGCCCGCACACCCACGCTCAGATCCACGCAGACACTCCCTAGGTGACTGTAACAGGCACATGTACAAGATGAGCACACGGGCACACACCTGCACACACGTGTACAATCCCGTGCAGGCACACCGCCCCCACTGCCCCTGGGAGCACAGGCCTGCCCCCGCCCAGCACTCACAGGAGACATTGAGCTGCACGGTTCTCTCCGTGGTCACCTGACTGCCGAGGTACTGCACCCGACAGGTGAGGTTGGTGCCGTGGTCCTGGGGCCTTGGTGTCAGGAACAACGAGGGTTCAAGCCTCCAGGGAGTCTGAGAGTCAAGGGCACTGCCCTTCCAGGAGAAGCTGAGAGTTCTCCCAAGTGGGCAGTGTCCTGGCAGGCTGCAGTGCAGCTGTGTGGTGTGGCCAGACTGCAGGGGTGCCGGGAGCTGGATGTGTGGCTTCTCTGTGAGGGCTGAGGACAGAGGCAGGAGTCTCAGGTCAGGTTCAGGTATGGGGGGACCCAGGGTCCATGGAGATCCTGAGAGAGACCAGGTCCCCATGCCCCATGCATACCCCCGATATCCTAGATCTCTACTCACCACCTGCCCACTCTGTCCCCATCCTAACACACGGTGTCCATCCCAGGCCCTCTCCCAGGAACCCAGCCGTACCTGTCACATTCAGAGACAGCTTATTCCAGATGTAGTTGTATTTGACATTGCTTCCTCTCTTCTCCACTCGGAAGAAGTACATCCCTGTGTCCTCCCTCCTGGCGTCTGTGATGCTCAGGGAACAGTTGTTGGTGCTGAGGTCCCTGGGGACGTGGAACCGGCCCTTCGTCTCAGGCCTCACTGTACGATAGGGATTGTTGGTGGCCACAGGATCATCATAGTCACTAGCGTCCCCATCTCGGAACCAGAAGATAAATGTCTGGTCAGGTCTTGTCCCGTAAGTCCTGGTCTCAGGGTAGGAGAAGGAGCAGGGCACGAGGACACACAGACCCTCCTGCACTGTCACCGACTTCTGCACCTGCAGCTCGTAGCCTGCTTCCTGCTGCAGGGACCCTGGACAGGGGCCGGGAAGAGGGGACACAGAGACTCAGTCACAGCGCTGCCCCACCACAGCCTCCCTGTCCCCCATTGCCCAGTGAGCCCCTTACCCTCCCGCAGCAGGGACAGTAGCAGCAGCAGCAGCGGCAGCATTGAGTCGGGGTTCTGGTCTCACTCTAGGCAAAGAAATGTCTCAAACGTGAGGTGTGGCCAAGTGAGAGCAACAGGAAGCTGCTGGGTGAGTGTGGGCCTGGGCCATGCCAAAGGGGAACTTGGGTGCTGCATGGGCCTGGGCGGCTTGTTGGGGGCAGGGAGATGGTATTCCTGCTGTCCCCAGCACACATGGCAGAGACAGAGTGTGGGTGGTGCAAGTGTGGATGGAGGGTCAAGAGGCCTGGAGCTTCTCCTCGGGTAGAGCTGCTGAGTCACGTTCAGATACACATGCAGCAGCCAGGGCGTGTGCAGACAGAATGGGACAGAGAAACGGGGAGCAGCGACGTGCAGGGGAGGGGCAGCTGCAAGCACCCTCCAATATACCCCTCTGAACCCCGGACTTGGAGCTGCCTTAGAAATGCAGGCTAGAGGGAGCTGGATGAGGGGATGTGGGCCCTGCAAGAGGATCTACCTGCCTCGGTCTTGGGGTTTCATGTAGGTCCGCTGGGACAGCCATGTGCTCTGTCCACTTGGGCTGGGCTGTTTCAAGGGAGGAAGTGACCCCTCCCACTGGGGTTTCCCTGAAGGCTGCAGAAGCCACATGGTCCCTGCGGAGCTCAGCCTCGGTGGAACCAACATTCCAGGAACCCCAAGCAATCGGCGGGGAAAACCTGGGCTCTGCAGCATCCCACCTCTGATTTAACCAGGAACGTGCCAACAGTCAGAGCTTCTTGACAACAGGTTCTAGAAGCAGGACCTTCAGAAACTCAGGACAAAGTGCAATCCTGGTCTACAGTGCTCACAGACGCTGGCTTGGCTGTGTCCTCTGTCTACAGAAATCAGCTACAATTACTCTCGTGGGAGAGGCTCATGCGAGAATACCAACCCAGCATCTGGAGGAGGGCATGCGGGTGGAGTGGGCAGGCAGGCTGTACCCAGTCTAAAGGCAGCGTGTCATTGTCCCATGTCATCTTCTTGGGGCTCACTTAGCAGTGTGGTGATCCTGCGACTTGCTGCCATGTGCCTTTGCTTCCAAAGAAAAGGGCCCATGTGCAAAGATGAGTGTACCCTCGGCCAGACTGTAGGCAGAACTCTCTCCTGAGCTCTGTCTGTCCTGCTCCACCCAGGGCGGTTGCAGCAGGAGTCTGAAGTTGATAGAGTGAACACTCCGGGTCTACCTGCTGTGTGCTGAAGAGCTTTCCCACATACACTGCGCCACAGTCTTTGGCTGTCAGTCTCTCGACTCTTTGCCATGTTCAGAGTAGAGTCCTCTTCTCCCTGCCTCTATTGCCCATGCATGCACACTGGGTAGGGAGGCAGAGAAGAGAGCTAGAGGCAGCCAGCAACCACCAGACGTGGGCAGACGGAAGAGGAGATGTCTCCATCACCTCCTCCAGGGAAGCCACACCCCAGGGGCAGCTGCCAGCTGGGCTCCTGCTCCCCAAGGGCACAAGGCTCCTTTGAGCAACAGGGAACACTCCAGAGTGACCAACAGCCAGGGCCAAGAGGAGACCCTCTTCACTGGCAACATAGTTACGGAGTTGATTTTAGAGACAGGAGTGTGTGTGTTTGCTCAAACATGTAGCATGATTGCTTCAACGTTGCATCTCTTGTTGCATGTGTGCTGCATCTGTGGGTGCACAGCAGCAGGAAGCTGCAAGCTCCAGTGCAGCCCTGCCTTGAACCCAGTAAGGGATGGGCGCATGTCAAACGCAGGATCAGGCAAACACACAGCCTCCTTCCTGGAATGAGAGTCACGGGACATGCAGTGAGCAGCGGGGATGTCGGCTGGAGAGCTGCTCTGGGTACGGATGACGTGGTGACGTACTGCTGATTCCTCTGTCACCTGAGACGGGGACGACTCAACCACCCACCCAACATCCTGGGGTCTACTCGCCTAGCACACCCAACACCCCGGAGTCTGGGTGGTTTACGCCTGTGCTCAGGCAGGCACCCCACCAGCAGCTGGCTCCACGGCACAGCTCAGCACCCTGAGAAAAGACAGAAGTTCCGAGTTGGAAAGCTGCACCCACAGGCTGTGGCTTTCACGCCATGCTGCAGCAGAAACATCCAGAACTAAACTAGTGTAAGTCAGGATCCTCGTGTCAGCAGGATGAGGTGAAGAGGAAAGTGAGATGGAGCTGGGTCCTAAAGTGACATGAACCGTGAGGTTCCCCTCGGGGAGGAGTCAGTGCCAAGAGTCCTTTGCTCAGTGCACTGAGTGAAGGCAGGTGGAGTTGGCTTCTTGGCCCTGACACCGTGGGAAGGAGGTGACAGAGCCAGAGAGAGGCTTGGTGCGATGGGACAGGACAGGAGTTTGTACCAGATGGTGTTGACCAGTCATGCTAACTGACATCCAATTCCACTGTGCCCAAACTTCCAGCCAGGACAGCTGCAGAAAACATGCTTGCCTTACAAAATATATCTTTATATTTATTTTAAATGCAGAATTGTTATAGAGATGCAGAGAGAGAGAGAGAGAGAGAGATGGATCTTCTTCCACCTGCTAACTCCTCAAATTGTTGCAACAGTCAGCACTGGGCCCATCCCATACCAGGAGCCAGGAGGCAGGAGCATCTTCTGGGTCTCCCACATGGGTGCAGGGTTCCAAGTACTTGGACCATTCTCCACTGCTTTCCCAGACCACAAGCAGGGAGGGAGCTGGATCTAATGGGGAACATCCAGGACTCAACCAATGCTTTCTAGGAGGTGGTAACGCAGGTGCAGCTGGGCCTGCTCCATCACAGGCAGGGAACCTCAGCATACCCTCCTCGCTAAAGTCCTCGGAAGTCCATGAAAACCAAGTCCTCACTCTGTCCCACTGTGATGCCTTCGCAGCTCTGGGTCCTCTGCCATTGTCAGGCACGCAGGAGTCAGAATGTGAACAAAATGCACGAACGAGGCCAACAGGGTCACACAAGAAAAATGAAAATCTATGGCTAAGGACTTGGGAGATATCGGCCTGGTCAGGGAATGCTGGGCAAAGCTGAAACTAGAGAGGAGAGCCCGGCAGTGATGGGTATCCTGTGTGAGCCATGGAGGCAGGAAGGACGTGGACACAGCCAGGGAGGGGTCCAGGCACCAGCTGTGAGGACCAGGCTGTGCATCCATCAAGGGCCCAGGGTGTGGGAGAATCCATCACTGTGGCTCTGTCAGCCTGCCACCCTCCCCAAGCCGGGTCACCATGGACACATTCTCTACTGAACATCCATGGGGTCATGCGGACACCACAGCCTGCGTGCAAACATGCCCAGATGTCCTTGAGGTCTACAAGGATCCGCAGGGGCCTTCAAGAGTAACATCTGTTCCCGGGCGGTCCTGTGTCTTCCATGTGGAGATGCCCTTGGTCGTGTTTTATAGTCGCAGCTCCAGGTGGAGGGAGCAGCCAGGCTCGCAATGAGCAGTGCATCCGGGTCTCGGGGATGGGTCATTTCTGGCCTCCCCCGTCCTTCCATGGTCAACAAGCAAGCTCTCAGGTGTGGGGGACCTGAAGCATGCAGCCCAGTCACATGTTGGAGCAGGTGGTGGGGAGGGATGAGAAGGGCAGCAGGTGAAGCTGGGATGGGGCAGGACGTGCCGGGCTTGGTGGATTAAGGACAGGGAAGGAGGCAGGCAGGAAAGAGAAGCAGAGAGCTGCCTCCAGGGAGAGGCTAGCGTGACATGGCCATGGCTGTGGCTCTGGGTGCCCGGTGCTCATCTCGGTGTCGAGGCGTGAAGCTGGGGGCCTCCGCACCTACAGGGCCAGCACAAGCCTCAGGTCAGAGTGGATTCAGGGGCTCCCAGGCCAGGCAGTGCCAGGCAGCTGAGCCCCTGGAGCTTACCTGGTGTAGTAGAGCCACGTGAGGCCATAGGTGAGAAGGAAGCCGGCTGCCATGAGGGACCCTCTGATCAGGGTGAGCACCAGGGGCCAGGAGCTCTCCTGTCTCTCACATACGCACGTGCAGCCAGAGGAAGCTCCTGGCACAGGTGGGCACTGGTTGTAGTTCCAGCCTCAGGCCTCAGCCTCCCCCATCCCCACTCCTCTGCATCACACACCTGCCCCGACACTCACTCTGCACAGAGAGGCTCAAGGAGAAATGCCTGGAGCCCAGCAGGTGCCGAGCCCAGCAGGTGAGTTCTCCTTGGTCTTTGGCCTGCACCTCGGGCAGCTCCAGGACTCCGGATGCTGAGGCACGGGAGGAAGGCAGGGCTTCGTGTCCCCTGAACCAGCCCATCGAGGCAGCGGGGTTGCCATCAGCCATGCACACCAGGCGCAGGGACAGACCCTCAGAGACAGGCAGGGACGTGCCATTGCTCAGTACCCATGGGACTGTGTGAGGGAAGGTGAGAGAGTGGGCTGTGGAAATGACCCATGTGTCTGCACTTGGGCCCTGACACTCAGCCAGCCACTCATTGAAGGGGAAGCCCATGCGACTGCCTGTGGGATGGTGACAGGAGAGAGTAGGTCTCCTTGACATGGGGAAGGGGAGCTGAGCCAAGGCTAGGACGACAGGGTGTCCTCACGGTAGTGGGGGGGGGGTCCTGCAGCTGGGGATGTGCTGGGAGCCGAGACCACCAAGCCAGAGGCAACAGCACAGCTGTAGCTGAGCTGGGAGGGGAGGACCAGGGACTCTTGTGATGCAACAATAGGGACCAGGGGACAAGCACACTGTCAGGGCCTCACGTGCCAGGCTGGGAGTCCTGGGGAGCACTCAGTGTGAGGAGTCAGAGGGCACAGGCTTGGCACTGACTGGCACCTGAGCCTGAGCAGGTGAGGTGGGAGGCAGGACATAGCAGAGGTGGTTCCAGGGCAGACAATGGGGCCCCCACCCCATTGATGATGGAGAGGGAGAGGGGGAAGGGAGGAGCAGCTGAGTCCTCGGGACCCGCTGAGTCCTGGATGTGCCTGTGTGAGTGGGAGCCCTTTGGAGCAGTGAGGTCCTGGGCACCCTGGGCTCATGGGGTGCAGGGGGGTGACAGAGGGGCTGGCAATGGTCGCAGCAGCCATGCAGCCAGGGCTATCAGGAAGGGACAGCAAAGCCCAGGAGGGAAGAGCAGGAAGATAGAACTGAGGGTTAGGATGGAGCAGTGGGCACTCAGAGGACTCCTAGGGGAGGCGATGACCTCAGCGTGGAAGGAAGGCAGGGCCGGCCAAGAGAGCGGGGCCTGGAGGAGTGATTACAGGTGGACATCAGCTGGGGAAGGCAGAGACAGGTGGACATCAGCTGGGGAAGGCGGAGACAGGGAGGGGCGGCAGCTGGTTGCTGGGGCCATGCTCCAGCTTTGCCTGAAGGAGAGAGCAGCTGCCCACAGCACCTGCTGACCTGCACGCTGCAAGATCAAGAGGATAAACTCACCCCACACTGAGAGATTCCTCACATAGAGAGAAGATAAGGGAATGTGTGAGCAGCGGGAGGGAGGAGACCCCGCTCCCCCAAGTGTGTCTGCCCACCAAGCACTGTGCAGAGCAGTCTTCGCGGCAGAGTCAGCCCCCATGGTGTCTGTGCAACGAGGGCTGTGCTCTCATCAGGCTCCACGTCCCAGTCCCTGGAGCAGAGGTTCCCCTACCTGTGCTGTTTTGGAAGAAGACGCTGACGCTGAGGTTCTGAGGAGGATCTGGAAGGGAAGAATGGCCCTGGCCTCAGGGGTGAGGAGCAGCACGCACGTGGGCACCTGATTATACCCGCGAAGCGGCCGTGTCCTTCTGACCCACCCCACGCCCGCACACCCACGCTCAGATCCACGCAGACACTCCCTAGGTGACTGTAACGCACATGTACAAGATGAGCACACGGGCACACACCTGCACACACGTGTACAATCCCGTGCAGGCACACCGCCCCCACTGCCCCTGGGAGCACAGGCCTGCCCCCGCCCAGCACTCACAGGAGACATTGAGCTGCACGGTTCTCTCTGTGGTCACCTGATTGTGTGGGTACTGCACCCGACAGGTAAGGTTGGTGCCATGGTCCTGGGGCCTTGGTGTGAGGAACAATGAGGGTTCAACACTCCAGGGAGTCCAAGAGTCAAGGGCACTGGCCTTCCAGGAGAAGTGGAGCGTTCTCCCCTGTGGGCAGTGTCCTGGCAGGCTGCAGTGCAGCTGTGTGGTGTGGCCAGACTGCAGGGGTGCTGGGAGCTGGATGTGGGGCTTCTCCTTGAGGGCTGAGGACAGAGGCAGGAGTCTCAGGTCCAGGCTGTGTGGGACCCAGGGTCCATGGAGACCCTGAGAGTGACCAGGGCCCCATGCCCCATGCCCACCCCAGATCCCACAACTGTCCTTACCACTTGCCCATTCTGTCCCCATTCTAACACACGGTGTCCATCCCAGGCCCTCTCTCAGGAACACAGCCGTACCTGTCACATTCAGAGACAGCTTATTCCTGATGTAGTTGTATTTGACGTCGCTTCCCTTCTCCACTCGGAAGAAGTACGTCCCTGTGTCCTCCCTCCTGGCGTCTGTGATGCTCAGGGAACAGTTGTTGGTGCTGAGGTCCCTGGGGACGTGGAACCGGCCCTTCGTCTCAGACTTCACTGGCCAATAGGGATTGTTGGTGGCCACCGCAGCATCATAGTCACTATAGTCCCCGTCTCGGAACCAGAAGATAAATGTCTGTCCAGGTCTTGTCCAGTAAGTCCTGGTCTCAGGGTAGGAGAAGGAGCAGGGCACGAGGACACACAGACCCTCCTGCACTGTCACCGACTCCTGCACCTGCAGCTCGTAGCCTGGTTTCTGCTGCAGGGACCCTGGACAGGGGCCGGGAAGAGGGGACACGGAGACTCAGTCACAGCGCTGCCCCACCACAGCCTCCCTGTCCCCCATTGCCCAGTGAGCCCCTTACCCTCCCGCAGCAGGGACAGTAGCAGCAGCAGCGGCAGCATTGAGTCGGGGTTCTGGTCTCACTCTAGGCAAAGAAATGTCTCAAACGTGAGGTGTGGCCAAGTGAGAGCAACAGGAAGCGGCTGGGTGAGTGTGAGCCCGGGTCATGCCGAGGGGGAACTTGGGAACCTCAAGGGCTGCAGTGCGGGGACTGGCGGCCATCCTCATCCTCTTCTCTCCTCACACTGCTCTTGAATGATCCGTTGACCCTGCAGTGTGCCCGCTTGCCCCAAGTTCCTGTGCAGACTCCAAGTGTGGATGGTCCTTCAGCGTAGTCTACACTGCATGTCAGCCACGATCTGGGAGCCGGAATCTGGGACCTCAGGTTCAGCTAAGAGCTAATCCGTCGTCACGTGACCAGGTCTATGACTAGCTCCACCCAGGCAGCGTGGAGGCCAAAGTCTTAGGGACAGATCGGTCACTTGTGGGTGACCATCCCGCTGCTGTCCCCTGTCTCGCTCTTTTCCCTAGGCGGCCTGCTCCAGACTGGTGGTGATGCCCAGCCTGGGCCGACGTCTGGGCATTTATAATGCCAGGACGCCTCTCAGCCGCCTCAGTACCTGCTTTCCACTTTACACAAGTAACAGTGCCTCTTTGTGCTTCTCTGTTAAACAGAGCCATTGCTAAGGCCACGCGGGAATCCTGCAGTGTGCAGTGCTAGGACAGGGGCCAGCGATGTGGTGCGCCTGTGACACTGACAGGGACCACCGTTGTGGTGTAGTGGATTAAGCTGCCACCTGTGACATCGGCAGCAGCCGGCATTGTGGTGCAGCAGGTGCTCAGCTTCCAGCCTCATTCCCTGCTAACGCGTTTGGGAATGTAGCAGAGGACGGACCGCGTGCTTGGGCACCTGCACTCACGCGGGAGACCTGAATGGAGCCCTAGGCTCCTGACTTTGACCTCGCCCAGCTCTGGCTGTTGTGGCCATTTGGACAGGGAATCAGAGAATGAAAGGTCTGCTTCTCACTGTCTCTAATTCTGTTTTTAAAAATGAATATCTAATTTTTTAAGAAATAAATCCTCATGGAGATAAGAAACCATTAGGATCACAGTCTCACAGATAATGATCCATTCTGAGAAACTCAAAATTGGAATACAGAAGAGGATTGCTAGCGACGGCCACGCACAGAAGTGACCCTGGAGGAAGGACATGGAGGAAGTGCGGGGAGGATCCCGGGTGCGTGTCAGCCCCGTGCTCCACTGCGTGTGTGCAGGGGTTGCACTTAGAGTCCCAAGCCAGCTGCGGGATGGCGGAGGGGCCGTGAAGGCGGCATAGCTCTGGAAGCTGTCCTGGGTACCTCTCCCTGTGCTCTCCAGAGAAACAGAGCAGAGAGAGGGGCAGAAAAGAGAGGGGGGGGGGAAGAAATGGAACATTCCAGAACTGTAAACAGCTTGTGTTTTAAGCTATGCACTGTATGGAGCAGTGTTATGCAATCGCAGAACTTCCTGCTCTGCTGCCTGGGGAAGTGAGTCATTCGTCGCCCAGCAGGTGCCTGCTGGAGCTCACACCACCGCCAGTGAGTCACACAGCCATCTCTGCTCTTAGACCTACTGCCGTGGTATCGCAGCCCTCGTGTTCAAGTGGCCTTATGTCACGGCACAAGAGCAGCGAGGCTAGTGATGCCAAACTGACAAGGAGCGGCTGTAAAATGCTTCCCCAGGGTATTACTCCCTTTGGCATGTAGGCTAAGCCTCTGCCTGCAGCACCAGCATATGTTATGGGCAGTGGTTTGAATCTTGGCTGTTCCACTTCCCAGGCAGTTCTCTGCTTATAGTCTGGAAAAGTAGCTGTGGTTGGCCAAATGCTCTACTCTTATGACAAAACACACTCGAAGAACTATCTGGAATTATCTTTAACCAGATCCCTGGGTATCCTGTGGTCCAATCAAGCTGACTCCCGACCATCTCCTCGAGTGAGTTGAAAAGACACAAGCTGACTCCTTGGCTGCCATGCCGAGGACCTGGAGTAGGGAAAGTTCCAGGGGGTGCTACTGGTTTGGGTCTTAACCATTGCCCCTACAAAGGTTTGCATGTTATAAAGGGTTGGTCCCCAAAGTCTTATGTGAATGCTACCGGGGGTGGAAACTTAATCCAAGTACCTTTGGGCAGTGGTTGGATGGGACTGAGTCACTGGGATGGAGTCCAGGATGAAGTATTGATGGATCAGCAGTGGACAAGGCAGACACACAGATGCCCACACCCCTTGTCACTCATCATGGGATGCTATGTGTCACTGGGGGAACTGTCAGCAGGAGTGCCATCTCCAGGTGCTGAAGTGAGAAGGCCTGCCCACACTTGCACTCTGCAACCGCAAGCCAAAACAAACCCCAGTCCTGCGTACATGGCCCATGCCAGCCTATTCCATCACAGTTATGAAACTCTGAGTTACACAAGGCTTGTGGCCACAAGTACCTTCCTGTACACCGCCAGGCTCTGTCTGGACTGCCTCCACCCACCCCATGGCCACTGCCGCAGTGGACAGCACAGAGGAGAGAAGCCAGTATGCTTATCTGAGGGGCAGGGTAACAGAAGAGACAAATGGGCAGGAGATCCCCACATACAGATGTAAGGACCCTGACCAGCAGCAAGCCAGGAAGAGCCCACCTCAGGGAGGAGTCTGGATTGGCTGACCTCAGAAGCCAGCAAGGTCCCGGATTGAAAGCAAAGAACCCAGGCCAGTCTGGGCCCCCAGTTCCCTCCTAAGGGTGTCTGAATTAATTGAGACGGCATCAACACAACCGGGATTCAAACTGAAGCCTGACCCGCCAGTCACTGACAAGCTCGCCCTCATCCTCACTTCTCCTCCATTCCCAGGTTGCCCGAGATGGAAGGAAATCCAGGGACGCCCGTGACTCTGACCTCCCGAGCTGTGGTCTGGCTACCTGTCTTTGTTGGCCGTTCACAGCCCGACTTTTTACCTAGTGGTCTCTTCCCTCTGAGCGACCACCCTCCGGTCATGGTCAGCCCTGCCTCTCGCTCCAGAGGTGTCTGTGGGCGGCACTGACCAATGGGCGTGGCTCATGGACCACAGCACCGCGGCCAGTGGTTTCGGCTCACTCACGGGTCATGTCCGATTCCTCCCGGGAAGGTCTGAGTCAGGGCTCTGGTTTCACCTTCAGGAAGGTGGATCTCTCTTCCTGGAATCCTGCAGCTGTCTGAGAGCAAAGCCAGCAGAGGAAGGTAGATCAGTTGGACAACGAAGGGCCAGGATTCTGGCGGCGTCAGCCAACCCACAACCTGCTGGGCCTGAATCCAGTCTTTCTCAGAACTTTTTAGTTAAGTTGGCCAATGGATTTTTCTCTTTTTCCATTAAGCTAGTTTAAACCCATCACATCTGGCCTGCACCTCAAACCACTCCACCCGACACAACCTCTCCCACCAACCACCACGCCCAGACCCCGCTCTCTGTTCTGGGTTAGTCCCTGGAGTCCCCGTGAACTTGTTTTCAACTTTCAGAGTCTGCACTCCTTCCAGGGACTTGTGGGAAAGGATCCGACACATACTCATGCGTTTTAGCAAGGCCACGGCTGGAGCCATCCGTGAACATTGCTACCCAATCCCATCGTAGCAATCAGCAAAGACCAACCAGCGGGAACAAGCTGAGGCTGCGTGTTCAGAGATGGTTCTCGCCGGGGACTCCGCCATTGGCATTTGTGACTTGGCGGAGGGTTGTAAATGCATCAGCGTGAGGGAAGGGAGGGCTTCAGGTGTGCCCTGCTTGGCGGCTGTCAGCAGGAAGCAGGTGTAGGTGGTTCAGAAATGTGGAATCCTGTGATTGGGTCAGGGGGTCGCAGCGGCCTTTCTCTGATTGGTTCTAAGTGAGAAACGGAGAGAAATGAGAGCAGCTGTCCGTCCTGGCCAACTGTTGCTGGGTTTAGCTACCTGGACAGGATGCCAGAGTAATGGCCTGGCAAGTGGGTAGGCCGGCTCCCTAAGCTGCTACTGGGAGTGATGGACGACTCTCCCGTCCTTCCACTAGAGCCCAAACTCGGGCACCACAGCTGGCTCATCCAAACACGGACTGGGTTCTGGGGAACCGGACGTACCAATAAAAACCAGGGGTCAAGTTCATCTCAAGGGGCAGAAACCAAAGCTCAAGGACGCCCCCTGCTGGAACAGGTGAATCGGCATTTCTGACAGTTCAGTCGTTAAACTGGGCACAGCAACCTTCACAATGAGTTAGATGGGCGAGGCCCAAACGAAAATGGACAAAAGTTAAACAAGAAGAGGAGGAGGAGCAGCTGCTTCGCAGGTCAGGGTGTCTGGGTTCGGGCCCAGCTCTGTGTCTGATTCCAGCTTCCTGGTACACTCAGCAGGCGAGATAGCACGCGTGATTGGGACCCTGCTACACGTGCGGGAGAGTCCAGGCTGAGTCCCGGGCTCCTGGCTGAAGTCTGGCCCAGCCCTGGCTGTTGTGAACCCAGAGCGAACCTGCGCTGAGCGTGGAATCACCCCCGCCTTCTCCCACCTTGGCAGGCTGCCGTCCTGGCTCACTTAAAGACCAAGGGCCCAGACCCGTTCCGAGGTCCCCCCAAAGATACACAGATTGCAATCCTGCAGACCTGGACATGTAGCTGCATGTGGCCCAGGGCCCTGCAGTTAAGGCAAGGCTGTTTCGCATTACGGGCCTGGGTCCTGAAGGGAAAACCGGGGTTCCTCGGGGAAGACACGCACGCGCATGCTGAGGTGGAGCAGGCGGGGCTGCACCCACTTCGTTTGGCTGTGGTCCTCCGCCCACTGCTGTGGTCTGTCAGTGCTGAAGTGAGCTACAGGAAGCATGCATACTGCGTTGTTTTCCCAACCCCAGGCCTACCACACACATGTGCTTCATCTGCTGGAGAAAAAGCAAAAACAACAAAACAAACAAACAAACAAAAACCAGACACAGGGACCCATCAAATGAAAAACCAATGGGGCTGGAGGCCTGGCGCAGCCTTGCTGTGCACCTGCTCCAGGTGAGGCAGTGAGCCCCAGCACAGTCCAAGTGCGCCTCCTGCTGGCCACGGTCGCACATGCAGCGATAAATCCGGGAAAACAAGATATGAGACAAAAAGGACCCTGCACCGGTGTGGGAGACCCAGAACTTCCTGCTCCTGGCTTCAGACTGGCCCAGCTCTGGCCATTGCAGCTCCTTAAACAGTCAACCAGCAATTCGAACATCTCTCTCTCTCTAATTCTTTCAAGTAAATAAATTTTTCAAAACAAATTTTAAAAGAGTTAACATAGTGCCCGGCACAGTAGCCTAGCAACTCCTTGCATTGCATGAAC